CCCCCCTCGGCGGAGGGGCGGCCGGTTGTGCCAGGTCAGCCACGCCGGCGCTGGTTCCTGCCGCTGGCGCTCCTCTGCCCTGAAACTCCAATCTGAAGCCCGTTTTCATGCTGAATTGTTCTTTCCATTACGAAGCTGCAAAGTGGAGGGTTTTGCCGGTGACCTTGTTCCCACCCTTGGGCACTACCCGGGCAGGGGTCCCGCAGGACCCTCCAGCTTGCGTTTTTAGCTTCCCCTCCTTTGCCAATGGGTGATCCTGACTCACCCGTATTAATTCCCCTTTTTTGGACAGACTAACTCACTGAGCCAACTCACTGCTGTCCCTGGATTTTGGTAATACCTCCATATTTATCTGAACAGGTGGTCAGTCATTCTTCAGCCGAAAGGACTCCATCCGAACCATCTACACATCTCTGCATAATGAGCTGAAGAAGGTGGTGGCAACGGGTCGCAATGCACTAGGAGGAACAGCTCCTCACTTGGAAGAGCTGCTTTCTCACCTGTCTGAACAGCTCTGTTTTTTTGTTCAGGCTCGGATGGAAATTGCTGACTTCTATGAAAAAATGTACACGCTCAGCACCCAAAAGTTCATTAACTCTGAGGAACTGGTAAACATTTTGGAATCCATCTTAAAGAAATACAGCTCAAGGTCAGTGCTTATTTGCTCAGGCAGTTGTAGAGGGCGATCAGGTCTCCCCTCAGCCTCCTCGTCTCCAGGCTGAACAACCCCAGTTCCCTCAGCCGCTCCCCATCAGACTTGTGCTCCAGACCTCTCCTCTGGACACACTCCAGCAACTCAACATCTTTCCTGTAGTGAGGGGCTCCTTCCCTGAAGGAGCACCAGGGGGCTGCTCGGTCAGCCGGCCCCGTAGCACCGAGCAAAGCTCTGGTTGGACACAAGCAGGCCCTTCCCCTCCCGTTAAGTCTGCCCAGCCCCTTCCTCGCTTTTCATTTCTAGGTGCAGGCACCTCTGCATGCATACCCAAGTTACTGCAGAATGGTGCACGACATCCTCAAAAAGCTGCAGGTTAGAACTAAAGTTTTGGGTTTACATGCTTAAGACCTGAGGCAGCTTAACTGAAGTTACGAGGTCTTCATTCTTACAGCTGAGAAGTTTGAGTCCTGCACGCACAAAAAGCCACCTTCTTCCCGAATTCAACTGTATTTACTTAGTGTGCCTAAGGGACAAAATGAATGTAGGATTTTATAGCAGCTCGACAACAGACTTGCTCTGACCTGGAAAGCTGGGTATTAAAATTCTGGCTGATCCATGGGATATTTTGGTAATTCAAGTCAGCACCTGAAACATTTCACCTGTTCCAAGGCAATCACAGCTGTAAATAGTTGGCTACCCGTAGTTTACAGAAAACAAAAGAGTAGGAAGGGGGACTCCTAGGTATCCAGGACACCATTTCCAAAAGACATCTGGGAGTCAAAGGTTCAAATAAGACCTTTATTACAACACAGAGCTGATCACACGTTTTCGTATTTAGAAGAAAGTATTTGGTCTCTTGGTGGTGAAACGTGGTTTGTGCTGGCGGCGCAGAACTCTGTGTGGCAGAGGGAACTTGATTTTAGAATCCTGCAAGAAAAATGTTTCTATGTTAACTGAGATACTGGATGAATGACAGAAAATAGTTTGCAATAAATAGCTAAGCTATATTCAACTGCTAACCTACATACAGGGAGGGAATGCATCCACAGATTAGACATAGGAGGCAAGAGATGCCTTAGTTTTGCAATTATTTTCAAAATAAATGACTGTTAAAGGCAAGTTTTCTGCAACATAGTATGTATTTTAGTTTGGCTTTGTTTTAAGCAGTTCTAGCATTGAAAGTCTTGATTGTAATACAACACAATTGTAAACCTATGCATGCAAGTTTGGCTCCCTCCCCGGTTTTGCCTGCAAAGCAAACCCATACCAGACAGGGGACCTCCCCCCTTCCAGTCTAAGGTTAGGCCAGGACCCACCAGCCCCTGCAACGTGACTTTGCTTACATGGAACTGCTTGACTGCTGGTCTACGGCACTTGCTAGCAGCAATTTCCTCAACTTTCATGATCTGAATAGAGTGAGCACGGGCACGGTGACGGGCTCCCATATCGCGGTCTGCAACAAGAGAACTCATTAAAAAAATAAGTCTCAAGACTTTTTCAGTTCAAAAATCTTACCACCATCTTTTCAGGAAATGTTTATAGTAGCACCTACAACTTTTGAAATTTCTGACAAACTCTACTTAATCACACTGGTTTTAGTATCTAAAGCAATGGCAGAAGTATCACAGAACTGACATGCAGCAGCAAATTCACGCTGCAACTCATAACCGAACTCCTCCAAGAAACTGCCATCTTGTTCTTGCCCGATTTCAAGAAGGTACACGCATACAGAAGTAATCTATGTGGGACCATTTCATTTTTTGCACAAGAAAACCGTGATTCAGAATCAACACTGAAATACGATTACTGGAAAGGTATGTGAACTTCAGGAAA